GCATTCCTGGCGCAGGCAGAAAAACATCCCACTTCACTTAAAGCCCTCTTGGCTGCACCCTTTTAACAGGAGTAAAATTCAAAAGAACTCCGCAAGAAACGGCCCTTTTCGGATTTTCTCAACCAACATATTTTGAGCTGTAATTTTTTTCACCGCCAAAATAAAAATAATAATAATAATAAATTAAAAAAAAAAACAGTTCCCCCCCAAAAAAGAGGACTAAAAGCATCTGCCCCCCAAGAAGCACTTGCCAAAACAGAGGTGTTGCTGCTGGGCTGCTCCAAGGTCTCAGCTTTGGGAGGTGCAGATGGAGGGCGCAGGCACCTTTTGTTTCTTGTAAACAGGCACACGCGCGCACCTTTATTGCTATAAGCAGCCGTGGGCTTTCTCCTGGAAGGTACACCCACCCTCCATGTAAAACAACCCATTACTCCCACTCAGGTGTGCTCCAAGCCCGGCTGGAACAACTGATAGTCTCCTTGGTGCGAGAACCCCGGAGAACATCGGGTACTGAGGTACACACCGTGAGGACTTTCCCTTTGGTGTCCTCCGGCTTTGTGATAGCATCTGCCCATAAATTCAGCTGGAGAGCCACAGACCCGTTACATGCCTCGGTCCCAGCAACGCAGATCCCCGATAATCAAGTTATCTTCCTCCTCTTAAATGGTGATGGAAATTAGGATGGGGTAAGCGAGAAACGCAATGCCTTCTTTAAAATAGCTGAACCAGTAAACAGAGGTGCAAAAGCGTCTCAATCTCCTTAATCCCCATCAGGTCCCTTTCACACGGGAGCGGCAGGGAGGATGGAGTCCCCCGAAAGACAAAAGCTGGAAGCGCAGGTCTGAGCTCCCACCCCAACAGGGGTCTGTGACAGGAGGTACATCTGGAAGAGCAGCCCGAGCTCTAGCTTTTACAGACAGCCTAAAAGTTTTGGATCCCTAACCCACCACTGAGTAATAAGAACACTAGGGTGGAAAAACAATGTCTTGTAAAATGAAGCATTGTTCTGCTAATAAAGTTTTCAGCATTAAACCGCATTACTCTGCTGGCATTAGAAATCATTGGCTTGGGGTTTGACTGTTTATTTTATTTTTATTTTTTTTTAAATATACAACACAAAGCAGTCAAACTCTGTTTTTTTTTTTCCGTTGTGTAAAAAACGCGCCTGACTTACAACCTGAGGTTGCTGATTTTTCCATTTAGCCCAGACGTTTCGCTGCCTGCCACAGCCCAGCCAGGCAGAGCTGCAGCTACGGATCCGCTTCCAGAATCCATCACAGGTGAAGAGAGGAAAAACAAAAACAACCAGCATTTCAGTGGAAACCCTATAGGTGCCCTCTCTTCCTCTGTAAGCTCCCGCAATCGCTCTGCTGGCCTCTTTAGAGCCAGGCTCACTGCCGTCATACGTGGAAAGGGCACCATCACCCCAGATTTTAAGATGTGTAAGGACACCATACACACCTCCAAAGAGGACACAGTGGCTAACGAAGGATTACAGCCTACCCTCATGTCTTCCGCCTGCACACTGGCCCCTCTTCCTTATGCTTTCCCCGCCTATGGAACCTCAAAGTGCTGGAGAGGAAAGAGAACAGTCCATCTTCATCATCAGATGGGATGACACAGACCAGAGATCCTCAGCTGGTGAATTTACACGGGCGCAGGCTCTCTAGTCTGATCTGGCATTCTTCCACCACCCCTCACAGAGGAGACCAGGGCCAGCACAGAGTAGGTGAAGTGCATCCCCTACGGTGTGTGGAAGAGATCTGGAGGTGGGAAGGGGACATCTTCAAGTAAGAGAACAGCAAAAGGAGGACAAGTTGAACATAGCTCTAACACAATGCTCGAGGCAGCAGTTTAAAGTCAACCCCACCTGCTCTAGAGCCTGGACAGTGCATCCCAAGGCCATAATCCTCTCCCAGAAGGTCCTCTCACCTCCTCAACATCAGCATAAGCAGGACACAGGAGGTAACTGTCTCGTCTGCTCCGGATTTGATTCTTGATGTTGGTTCTTTGATAGCACTTCGTTGTCCTTTTCCTGTTAGCCACTGAGCCCTAGGAGGTGCTGGGCACCTCTGGGAGATGCTGACCATCTTCCATGTTTATTGCTGTTCTTGGAAGCCAAGGGTAGCGATCCGCTCTTGTGACCAGCCCCTAGATACTGCTCAAACCTCAAAAAGCAAAAGGTTCTGCCAAGCAGGGGAAGCTGCCAGCGCTTGGGAGAAGCTGCTCCGAAGTGGATCCAAGGAAAACGGAGCCCACAGAATGGGGTGGAAACTGGCTCCCTCACAAGGAATTTGATGATCTATCTAATGAAGGAGCTTGAGCGAGAGCATAAGCAGTTCCAAGATTTCCGGTATTTACTACTTCCAGCTGGGTTGTAAATACCACACAAATGGCTTTTTAAATGGAATTTTCCCAATTCCAAGGTTAGGGCCGTCCAGAATGAAACGCAAACATGTAAAAACTCTGGACTTCAGGGTGCACCGGGCCCACCTCTTCCCCTGGTGCAAATCAGGAGAGTTCCTTTCCAATTCATGACAATCAGCTCCCTGGGACGGAAGACAATGAAGAATGGGACCCAACTGTTTTGGTTTTTAAAGCTCACCCACACTTCCAGGGCATTGCAGTAGGTTCATCCCAACTTTGTGAGGGAGATACAATGGGTGATTATCACTAACACTCTTGTTTCATCCCGTCTGGTTTCTAGCGTGCATCTAGCCCGAGCCTGAATAGCCAACGCCAGTGCGCAAGGCTGACAAGGGATGTCAGAGGAAAATAGAAAAAGATGGATTCAACCAAAATGGGCAGCCCTAAAGGGCAAAGAAGACGTACATCCTAGGACGTGAAACCTAAGACAAGCCGGTTATTTCAGCGACCGCACACTTTGCAAGACGGCTGCGTTGCATTGCAGGGGAACAATGACAGAAAGGGTCGTGGGGCAGGGACAGTCCAACACCGACAGCTGGAACCTCTTCCAGAGACAGCGAGGTGCCAGCGCTGCCTGCAGAGGCACAGGAGGCTCCTCCTGACAGGAGGGAGGGATGCTTACGTGGCTGAAACTACAGGACCACAAGCGATGTGGCTGCACATGAAAAGCTGGGTGCACACCAGCCCCCCGAATATCCCCCCACTATGCAGGCAGACTCTTCTTCACCCTCAGTGCCCAGCAGCCACCTTGCTCTGGGCTCCGCTGCATCTACCCAAGCTGCAAACACCTCCAGCTGCAGCACGGCTCAAGCCTTGACCAACTCATCGCATCTCCTAACATCAGCAGGACGAGCAGCACGTCCTCCAAGAAGACATCCCAGACTTGTCTTTTGTCCTACAGATTCTTTGGGTGAAAGAAAAGCTGGGTGGGATGAGGGAGAAATCAGTTCAACCAAGGAAGAGATCTATCCACCCTAGCAGCGCCTGTCCTTGTGGAGAAGGGGGAAAGGCATTGCTGTATCTCCACCGACCTCAGCAGAGCAGGAAGGAGACAAAAGATATATTCTTCCCCAAGGGCAGGGTCATGTCCAAGCTAGGTGGCTGAAGGATATGGTCCTCTCTGGTTGGAGCCAGTGGATTCCGCCACGTCCCTCTTCTCCCTCTGAGTGCCAACATGACAACTTTTATAACCTCCCCAGGGAGAGGCTGTTCCAGTCGCCTCCTGTTCAGCATCACAAGCATCCCAGAAATCTGCCAAGTGGTTGAGATTGTGTAAGGCTGGGAGGGAGCAGAGGTTTAGTGAGATGGCTTTTTAGTTCACAGGAAGTCTGAGGGAGAGGATAACACAAGGGAAAACAAGCCCCGATGCCCTAATTGGGACATGGGGCTAAAATGAAAGACAGAAAGCAAGCTGCCTGCTGCTATGTCCTCTTGGGCTTCTCCAAGCACAACAATGAGAGGGGGAGAGGTGGAGAACAACCAGAAGAAAAAAAAAAAGCAAAGCTCCAAGTGGTCTTTGTTGCAGCCTAAAAATCCACATCAAGAACTGAGGCCACTCCTTGGTAGGATACAGGATTGGAGTTAATCCATCCTCTCAAGACCAGTCTCTTTGTGAAATGCCATAAGCAATCTCAGCGTGGAGCTGGGATACAGTGCAGGATGCTTCTCGCCTTGAAGACTGCTGTTCCCCAGCCTTCAGCATGTTCAGAAGGTGCCTGGAGCGATGACCCCGTTGCACCACGCTGGGGTCGTTCCCAATGCTGCAACCTCACACTCCCATCCGCACACCAGAAATTGCCACATTTGGAGCTCTGGGATGTGTCCTTCCTTCCTTCCTTCCTCACCCAGAAGATCAGCTCCCTGAAGCAGAGGAGCCTTCAGAGATAACATCCCCTCACTGCCCCGCTGCTCTCCCCTAATGTTTTAAGTCCATATCAGATCTCCAGAGCGAATCCATCTTGACCTGACAGCTAAGAACAACACTGTCAACCACAGAGCTAAATCTTTGTCTTAGGTCACCAGGGAAGTAGAAGTTGAATAAGGTGCCTTTGAGTTGCATCGAACACAGACCTATTCTTAACCGAGCCTAAACCAAGACTTGACCTCCTGATTAAAAAGGATACACAGAAACATCATGAGATGTCAAAGCTGGAAGGAGCCCTGTCTGAGAGACTATCCTGGCAAACAGCGGTGGTATTTGTTACAGGAGATACAGACACCAGCTGGTCTCAAACCCGGTCAAATTGCCCTCTGCCCCTGCAAGCGCTTATCCATAACTGCAGCCTTCAGAAAAGGAAATCATCCACTTGAGGTAAATTCTAAACTGACTGAGGAGGACTCCGTGTTTGGGGAGTTGATGGTCCAAGAGGATCCACAATAATTCCAGTCCAGAAAATGGACAGAGGTGCATTAGGTGTGAGCACGCTCTTGCTTTCATTTTTTTCTTAGATGGTGAGGCTTGTTTAAAGTTATGCAGGAAAGCGGGAGAGCTGACAGGTGAAGCTTAATATTTCACTTATAAAGGAGAGGCTGGAAAAGGAAGAAAAGAGAGGAATATTATAGGTGAGGTTATATTCCCGAGTTCAATAAAGAGCCTCGCTCGGTGCTAGAAGAAAGTGCCACGCTCAGTCTGAGTTTGAGACGAAACCTTGGATCACGTTCTGATTTATCTGAACAGAATTGCTCATCTCCAGCGACTTCTCTTTTTTTTTTTTTTTTTTTTAATTAATTTCACTTTGCAAAGAGCTGCTTGGCAGCTTATGTTGGCTCTCTGTTTCCCATTAACTTTGTGTTTCTTTTCTTTAAGCCCTGGTGGCTGTTTTCGATTTACTAGATGCTTGGGGAGGGGGGAAAAAGGCACAGGGAGGAAAGCAGCGACTCAGGCTCCTGAGATGTACAGCTTCACGGAAGAAACCGGTGGTATGGGACAGGACGTCGCTTCTCTTTGATTAAAGCGTTTGGCGGCTTTGATAAAAGGCCGTTAACTGTTTGTGCCACTCAAGCCATCGTAGAGATAATGAGGGGCCATCAGCCCTCCAGAAGAGGACTCGCTTTTGCCAGTCTCCTGCACTTTCACAAGGGCCAAAAGGGGCCGGGCAGCTTATTACAGGGCAGATAGTCGTCTCTTTTGTGACAATAAGAGGAAGTGAGATAATTGGGGGATTGAGGGAAACCACCCATGGAGACACCACTTAGCGGGAATCCCAAAACTGGAAGGAAACCTCTGCTGATTCCTTATCACGTTACAATGCGGAGGCGAATGATGAATTGCCCTGCGGTGTGGGGACACGCAGCAGTCAGAGATTGTCCAAAGGGTTTGTTGCCATTTGGGCCAGCTTGTTTTGGTTAGTTTTTTGCAAAAGGGAAGAGGAGCGGCGAAAGCTCAGCTCCCAGGGCGAAGGAGCTCCAAGGACAGATCGCAGGCTGAGGGACATCAAGGGCGAACGGGACCTGCCTTTCCATCGCCAACCGCGGGGCTTGGCAGCGACCCGGCTGCGTCCTAAAGCCTCGCACCCACCCTCCCGCAGCAGCACGGGGGTAGCAAGGGCCGCACAACCCACCTCTGACCTTAGGGGACACTCTGGGAGCCCACTGTGGCTCCTTGTTCCCTACCTTACAGCTCGCTCAAGTCTAGCATCACCGTTTCCAGTCACAGGTTGGATACACTCTATACGAGCGCGAGGGTCTGCCTGGTCAGCCGGAGGGGTCAGAAAATGATGCCTCTGTTTTCCGCTGTTTGGCTCCATCTCGCATCAGGAAAATACTAGGATTTATGACCTTTTTTTGTTTTGTGGATGTACCTGTACACCACGCACGTGCTTTTACACATTCCAGGGATGCACCAAGGATGCGAGAGAGATTTCCACCGCCCTCCTGCCTCATCTGCCAGCGCTTCCCAGCGTCCGTTACCTTAGACGGTGTGCCTAACACTGCACATCCCGGCGCCCCAGGGGTTACCTTACTAAAAATAATGACATGTGGCTGACTGATAGGACCGTGCAGGGGAAGCGGGAAGGGATCTGCTGTGGGGAGAAGCTACCGGCCTGGAGAAATTCTCAGTGCACTCAAATGCCATGGTATGGGCTGACTCCTGTTAGCTTTTCCCATGCAAAATAGACTAAATCCGGAAAAAAGGGAGCAGGGGCAGGCAGTAATCGTCTCCTGCCCGCCCGATAGGGTTGGACTCGGGTCTGGAAATTCCCTATTTTCTTCTGAGTGTCTTGGGTGGAGGGGCTCTGAGGCTTCTTCTAGCTGAGTTCTGCACGTGTTTCTGCACCTCAGCATTCCCGTTGCTTTGGGAGAGGAAGGGAGAGACGGCAAACCTCTCGCTCCTGCCTGAGAACAATTATCCCATCGATACCACAGGGCTCTTCACGCCAGGACGAGCTGAGCAGTCAGTGTAAAGCCCTCACAGTTTGATCCCTGGAGCTCTGTCAAAGCAGGTCAGTCGCACCAGAGGGGAACGAACATGGATATCATGATTTTCAATCCCACGCCCCGTTCATTAGACCGAGCATTTAAGTGGAATTGCTTTCTGCATACCGACAACTGTCTCCCAACTGTGAGACCCTGAGTTGAAAACTGTGCAAAATCCAAGCTGTCAAGGTATCTCCGCTTGGAGATTAACCCTGTCTGAGGGGCTATGGAGACAGATAAGTCATCTTTATCTCCGGCACCAGCTATCCTACCCAATGTGGATTCAACACGGGTGAAAGGTACTGCCACCCCACAGCACCCCCCCCCCAAAAGCTCACTCCAGCAGTGGAGATGAGTTTCCAGGCAAAGATGGGTAAGATGAATTTCCCAGCCCAGCCTGGGGGTGCTGCCCACCTCCAGCACACGACCCGCATCCTTTGCTCATCCTCAAGCGTCACCGTAAAGCGGGCTGGGGCTCTCCAGCTCGTGGGCAAGGGGAAACATCAGAAAACAATGCTGACAGTCGCGTTAGGAAGGGGAAAGCGCCGATCGGGGAGCAGCCAAGGTCTGACCTTTTCTCTTGGTGCAGTGGTAGATCTGGCTGTGCTCCTGGGAGATGGGGTAGGGGTTGGCAGGCGGTAGCAGGTCCTGGGAGGTGCTCGACACCCCGTTCTCGCACTGGTACTGGGAGCCCAGGTTGGAAGAGGCGGAAAGGACCCTGGTCTCGCCACTGAAGGGGCTGTGATTCGAGGACACTTTTTGTCTCACTGTGCTCCTGGGAACAACCGGGTACTCTTTACTAAAAGCAAAGAAACAAACAAAAAACGAAAATAAAATAAATAATAAAAAAAAGAGAAGGCAGAGAAGCAATCAATTAATAAATAGATCAGTAGATTAATAAATGAAGGCAGCACATTAGTGTCATGGTATTTGTTTAGACTTTCAGGGAAACAGAGACATTCCTCCCAGGAGACTGCAGCCCCGTCACAATTTATCCACGCAGCACTCTTCTATTTCGCTTTCCTTTTAGTATCTTTCCCTTTAGATTCGCACATCTTCCACCGCAACTGCTACTTTACACCCATACATAAAATAGATATATGCAGTTATGGTGAAATACACAAGATTTATATTTACATATTACGGTAACATTTATAAATTATAGACTATTTATATTGTATATGTGGATGTGCACATGCATGTAAATAAAAACCTCGTTTCTGCCAAGCTGACTCGGAGATGGATTAAATATTTAGGTCTACCTTTACCCCCCTTATGGTCGTTGTCCCCATTCCTTTTCCCCAGGGGCTGCCAGCCTGGTTGTCCTACATGGGGGATCCCTGGACCAGAGAACAAGCTCCACTCCACTCCAGAGCGCTCAGAAAAGAGAAATAAATAAATCACCGAGACCCGATGCGCTCCAGAGCCACACGCCTCAGCAGAGTCAGGCGGGGAGAGTGAGCTCGCATGGAAAGTCTGCTTTGTTCCCTTGCTTTGAAATCTGGTTTGAAGCAAGGATGCTTCGCCAACGTTGGCTGGAAATCCCCTCTCCTACATGTTTTGGAGACATTTCTCCAAGCACATCGGCAATGTGGCTGGACAAGATTATTCCTGCTCTGCAGGGGGGGAGAACTGAAGTTGAGTAGGGGGTCTTGGAGACTTCAGGTGAGGTGTGAGCCTCCTCCTGGGCTGTCTCCAAGACAATGGAATGCTCCCTGAACCCAAGGACTTGCTAAAATGTGTAAAGGTGAGGTAGCACAGCAGCACCTCGCAAAGTGCTACCAGGCTCAGAGCAGCCATGAACCAAAGCCCAGATTCCAACACAAGCGTTCTTCTTTGAGGCCATAACCATTGGATAAAGCTGGCTTTGAGGTATCCTACCCACCTGCCCAAAAATCATTATGCTGGAGCAAGGGCAGATCCTTAAATCCCATCAACAAGCTCACCTGGCCACTTACACATGGAGGAAGAGGAGCACCGACTCTCCAATTACGCCCCTTAGAGAGGACCTATCACTGGAGCAACTCAGAACTTATTTACAAAATTTAACAATACCAATTATATAAACCTACTCACAGCAGGGAGCTTTCATCCAAACCACTGCTGTGGTGGCTGCCAGAAACATCAGCAACCGAGCTGTAATGGAGGGGAAACTCACCCAGGAGCTCAAAACCAAATAAATGTGTCTCTCATTGTGCCACGGAAGCTTTCCAAACCCTGGGCACTGGTGGCTTGCCAAGCAGAGCCTATTCCAAAGGTGGGGTTTCTTCCCCTGGAAGCCCAGCAGCTCCTCCCCGCAGGGCCGGCAGGAGCGTGGTTTTCCACCCACTTGGACTGGCTGACCAGGCAGCTTTTCCCCCAGAACTGAAGTCCAGGCTGAGCACAAGGAACACAAGAAAGATCGACCGGGAGGAAGCAGAGACTTATCCCTCAGATACGCAAGAAAGCAATGGATGCCAGGGTGTGTGGTGGGCTTCAGAGGACCTCTCTGCCTGTGGACACCTAGCACTAGCATTTGCATCCCAGGAGCTCTTGCTGGAAGGCAGATTTGGTGGTTTTTCTGAAGGTCAAGAGCTACGGCCTTCAAACCTCCTAGGTTCTAGGGGGTCTCTCAGCCCTACCAGGTCACAGTTTTGAGCTACCTGCTCCGGTCGCGCTCCACCTTCACATAGGAATCCTTATGGAAATAGGATCAGCGTGATACCCCAAAGCTGCATCCCCACCATGTTTCCCTTCCAAGGAGACAAGCCACAGGGAGGTGACACCTGGACTCTAGCTCTCCTTCCTAATGAGAGGCTGCTGGTTCCTTCTTCCTCAGCTCCAACACCACCAACTCCCCAAGAAGTGACAGAGCCTCTTTTTTTTTTTTCCCCCAGTGGGGTACCTATGGGCTACGGTGGAGGAGGAGCAGGGACATAGCATGGCATGACGCCACATCATGTTCTCTGTGGCTCTTCTGGAGGATGCAGAGATGACTGCTGTCAGTTTCTCCCTGCTTTGGTGGGGGAAGAATTGGATGTCTCTTTGGGATTGTCATCCTCTCCCCATTCACGCATGGGATTAGATCTGCATGGGGGTTCTTACAGTAAATTCTCAGGGTAGCTCATAGGGAACCCATCAACATCAGACCTTCACTGTGCGAAGCACCACACAAACGCTAAGAAGCCATCCCCATCCCAGATACTTCTCACTTAAATCTACACTTTCTCTGTCTCAATGGAGAGCTGAGAAGGGGAAAAGTAAACAATGTGACTGTTTTGTCTCGATAAAAAAAAAAAATATTTCCTTTCCACAAAGGAGCTGTACTCCTGAAACAGCAATATTTTTACCCTGAAGTGCCAACATAGGTGGTGCCAGGATCCCACACTCTCCTTGTGCACTGGGGACCAAATTCCTTTTCAGGCTGCCTTTCCCAGGGGACACGACAGCCCCCACGGCTGTCAGAGAGGACCGTGGTGCTCTGCGGGAGACACGGCGAGAACGGGGGAGTCACGCTGGAGAGGGAACAGGTTGGAGACACCAAGTTTCCAAACAGCCGTTCCCAGGAGGTATCGCAATGACTTCTCTCCAGACTGAAATATTTCCATTTCAGTCAAAACATGTTGGGGGCTATTTTTGCCAAAAAATCAACTATTTGAGGAGGGAGAGGAAGGAAAGTATTTTCTAACTAAATATCTAAAATATTCTCTTTCTTTCACTTTGCCATTTTTCTAGACACAAAAGCAGTTATCTCCATATTTCTACCTTTTTCTTCCTTACAGGAGCTGAGCTCTAATAAAGAGGTATCTTGGTACCTTGTAAAGCAACAGTCATCTTGAAACATTTATACTGTTTCCTGAGCCCACTCAATATGCAGTGTGCACAGCTACCGTGTTAGTTTGTCCTTCGGTCTTTAAAAATGTATCCGATTATTTTTATTTTTTTTTCTTTTTTCAGTGCCTAAAAGTCACTATTCCCAAAATAGCTGGTTGTAATCCTGGGCCATAGTTTAATGGAATGAAAGGTTTTGTTCACTGCTGGCACAAAACCATTCTTGTGCCCAGAAATTTTGCTGGCTAAAAAAAAAAAATTGTAGCAAAATAGGAAGGGGAAAAAAACAAAAAATAAAAAAAAGTGTTAAAGGTTGATTTACACAGGCCATATAGGAAATTGTCCACACAGCAAGGAAGAGCCTGTTGTTCTTGGGCCAGAACGTGAGTTAGTTGTACGTGGGGGTGTTAACAGGCTACATTTTTTTCACATTAAAAATTGTAAAATTAGAAGAAGAAGAAAGAAAAAAAATGGTTGGGGAAAGAATTTAAAAGGAAGGAAGCTGTCACAGGTCTATTTAAAGTCTATTGGAGGGTAATGATGAATATTCAGTTCCATGGCTGGTATATTACAATAGCAGAGGGGGACGAGGGGGAAGGAGGGAGCTGCATTGCGCAAGGTGCTGCCCGGTCTCTGTCCCACCAGGCTTCTACTGAAGGGCCACCAGGGGAGAACATTCCTCTGATTTTCACTAAAGCTTGGGGGAAGAAATCAGGGATGAGGTCCAAGTCTATAGTGAAGGCACTCGGTCCTGAAGTCTGGACTTCATTCTTAACTCCCACCTGGCCAGATGCTTCCCCCATACTATGGGTCTGACACCAGCTCTGCGCAACCATTTCGTAATAGCACAGATATTCCTCTTTAGGGTTCATCATATAACCCCGACCCTACAGATCGGGCCTTACAAGTGAATCCTTCCTGCGTTACCTGAGCACTTCCACCAAAAATCAGACCTCTGCCACACGGAATTAGTAACCTCAGTCCCATTTTCATACCTCATGACATCTTGCCCCTCCCTTGACCAAACGATGCCCTCACCATGAGATCTTGCACCACAAATTCCTATCTAGCAAAGGAGACAAAGGGGCAAATTCAAGAAGGTTTTGTAATCTCAGAGCCGGAAAACTTGTTGGCCTCTGCAAACTAATAAAAACTGTGGAAAAACAATAAATATAGACCTTTGCAAAGTGTCATCCAGTCCCCTTTCTTGCTTATCACTATGTTGTAAGAGAGTGTTAATTTCCAATGTATTTTCATCTGCAGACTTGAAGTTCCCTAATGCAAACGCAAAACCTTGCTACAAATCCCTTCAAAAATCCACAGTTTATAATCAGGAAGCATCTGCGTCGAAGCATCCAGTCCCTACTGGCCCTAAGCAAATTAATTTTGAAGATACTTCTGATATTTCCGCAATGTAGCATTATTATATACCAAGGCTCTCCAGAGCTGCTGTAGCTCATGGTAACAAGACTTCAAAAGGCTTATTAAATGTCAGGTCCTGAGGATCATACTGGTCCCTGTTCGAGGTCAAGATAAGGCATGATATGGAAGAGGATTTCCTCATGGTTAGCCGCTGCCATGTTCTTGCAGCATCTTTTGAAGCCCCTGGGCTAGGAACAGTCTAGATCTTGTTCACAACGGCAATTCCTAGTCTAAAATCTGACCAAAGGTATATGAGTGGCCAAACGCAGTGATTCCCCTCCGCTCTTTCCAGGTTGCCAGGAGATTTTAACTCCTCCTGGGTCAGTCACTACAAAAGGACAAACGTTATCCCTCCTGCCAATCCTATCCCCTCTACCCACCCACCCAGCACCCGTGGATACAGCGGTGCAGAATCAGACCCCAATTCCAGATGTGCAAATACAACGCAAAGGCATTTGGGTTTGTATTTCCCAACACGAGTCAGCCATAACAGACAGAGAAAAAGGAAGAGGGGAAAAAAGTGACTGGAATGAATATGCCATCACCCAGGAAAAAAAATAAACCAGA